GGGCTGAAGCACATGGCAAGATACACAAGGAGAAGCTGGTGCTTCTCAGGGAGTTCTTCATGGCATCTCCAGACACCCAACAAGGGGTTACAGACAGGACAAAGCCAGACTTCCCTGAAGCTTTGCACTGATGGGACAAGGAGCAGTGGATAAACTGCAGTAAGGGAACTTCTGCTCAGATATCAGAGCCAAACATTCACCCTGTGGCTGGTGACACACTGAACTTGGTGCAGAGTAGTTCCCAAAGCTCCTCTGGGTGTGTCCCTCAGGGATCTGCTCTGAGCATGGGCTGGACTGGAGCTCATGGCTGTAGCCCCCTCAGGGACTCCTGAGCTCCCCTTCCCCTTTGCCATGCTGGCACCCACTCTGAGACCAGCAAGAGCAAACTGAGGATCAACCTCAACATGAAAAAAATCCAGCAGAAGATCTCAACCACCACCTTCCAGTCATGCCCTGGATGCATGATCTCCATGACCCAGGCCAGGCTGGGGGATCCCCAGGATCCAACCCCAGCTGTGTGCACAGTGACCAAGCCAGGCCCCCACACATTACCCTGGAGAGCCATCAATAGGGAGTGTCTGCCTCTGCTCCACAGCCCATTTCCACAGGGATGAGCCTGCAGGACAGGACCCAGCATGAGGAGAAGCTCCTGGACACTGTCCCTTGTCACCACCCTGTGCTCAGTAAGGAACTGGCAGCACGTGACTTTGTGTTATCGATGAGATAAAGCCCAGCACAGACCACAGAAGCTATGGGAGGGAAGGAGGAGGATTTCCAGCCCCCAGGGCCCCTCTTGGCTTCAGAACACTCTGCCCCTCATACCAGCCTGGGTGGAAGACTCCAGGCTGTGTCACTGGTGTGTCACCAGCACGAGGACCCTGTCACTGGCTCTGTCAGGGAACAGTGGAGATGAGCTGCAGGGCTTTTGAACCCCCCTCCTCTGACACACAGCCACAGCTGGGACAGGCTTCAAACCCACCCAGCATCATGCCCAAAATGCCTCACAGCAGGACAGAACAGGGCTCCTCACCTCCAGGCTCACAACAGGGGAGAAAACACCAGACTCTCCCCAAGGTGTCAAGACTCAGCTTTTGCTTCCAGGCTCCTGCTTGACCCTCACCTCCACCAGGATGGGAAATGCTGGCATTGCCCTGGCCTTTCCCCTGGCACAGGAGCACACAAGGATGAGGCACTGCCACAGCCCCCGGTAGCTTGAGCAACCTGCAGAAAACTTCCTGAAGTTCCCGTGCTGGGGGAGGCTCCTGCCACCACCCCAGGGCAGTCACCTCCAGGCTCACAAGGGCAGGCACAAGCAGCCTCTCTGCCAGTAACCTGGGGTGTGCAATCTGCAGCCCATCTGCCAGGAATCAGGGCTCACCCAGCACTCACACTTCCCTTTTTCTGCCTCCTCCCACCAAGATTTCTTGACTGGCCACTTTTGTGCACCTCGTTACTTGAGATGGAAGAAAATGAGACCAGCAACATCCAGAGATGCAGGATAAACACACAGGGGCTAAGAAGGACACCCTGCCCAGCAGCAGCCTGGTTTTCATGATGGTGAACCCTTGCTGCAGGCACCCTTTGAAGCAGGAGCTTCAAACCAACCCCAAAGTCAAGGCACTTCAGCACAAATTTCTTTGATGGTAGCGAAGGAGAAATGTTCCTTCACAAAAAATGGCTCATGATGGAAATTGGCTGCTCTTACTAACATTTTCCACCCACTTCCCAGCCTGAGAACCACCACACGTGGCTAAGGAGAGGGACAGCCCCCAGCAGGCACAGTGCTCAGAGACACAACTGCCTCTCATCCCTTGCTGTGCTCCAGGCACCAGAAAACCCTGTGAGAGGATGAAGGCTTGGCCAGCCCAGCTGGCCCCAAGCAGAGCAGACCTCAGGGACAGGCCCCTCACACCCCTCCACAGCCACAGGGGTGTTTATCCAGCCTCTCCTCACCTCCCACCCAGCAGAACTCCATCTCAGTCCCTCTCAGCTGGGAGCTGCAGCCCCGTGTTTCCTCTGGGTGCCTTAAGATCACTTTCATTTCCATTTAACAAGCACGTGACAAAGGGAACAAGTGATGTTAGGGGACGTTTTTATTTTATTACCACAACCCAGGTTTAAATCTCCCCTGAGCTAAGCAGCCCCAGCCTCTCTTTATATCTTCCCCAAAGCTGTCCTGCCTTCCTGCTCCAATCCACACGATTGAAAGTCATCTGGGGCACAGGGAGAGGCACTGCCCAACACCAAAATACAGCCCCAGCCCTACAGAGACACCCCAGCTGCCATGCCAGGGGCACCTGTGCTCTGGAGCTCCAGCAAGGTGCTCCCTCTCCTCCTGGCCAAGGAAAATGCCACTAGTGCCATGTCACAGCTGGCACCTGAGCTGCCTGCACTGTGACAATAAATGACATTGACAGGCCTGGGCGTCCACCTCCAACTGCCCCTCCTGCAGCAGGCCTCAGGCACTTCTTCCAAACCACCAGGAAAAGCCTTCCCCAATGACCCCCAGCCATGAGATCTGGCTAATCCCTGCTCTAACACCCTCCAAACCCCCAGAACTCCCCATGTGCTGTAAATATACGGGGTCCTGTTGCACTGCAAAGCAGGATTACTTTTATTTTCACCCCAGAACGGCTGCCATGGCACAGCTGCCTCCTTGCAGCTGCCATTCCCTGCTCCCAGAGCACTCACAAGGCTCTCCCAGCCTAACGAGCCCTGCATTTCCCTCTAATTAGCCCAATGTTCTGACTTGCCCAGGAGCAGGGCAGCACAGAATTGTGCTGGGCCAGACAACCCTGCTCACAGCTGCCACAGTCTGGCATTGCTCCTCCCTATCTAAGCTCAGGCCTCCCGGAAAACTCTCCACAGGGAATTCTAGGATGCCACCTGGAAGCAATGCCTGTCCCACCTGGTGCTGGCACAAAGTGCTCCATGGTCCCACCCTGCCCTCCCATCCACAGCCCAGCCCAGCACCCTCAGCTTCACTCTGGAACAGCTGCTGAGTGCCTCAGTTTTCTTCACTGAGCTGCAGGAGGGGGAGAGAACACCAGGCAGGTGGCTTGAGGGCACACTGGAGAGAAGTTCTCCTCACTTAATTACCCCAAATTAACTTGGAAGGAGAACTTGGAAGGAACTGGCCTCCCTCTGTGACAGGCCCACCTTGGACCTGCTTTTTGCCAGAGTAGCTCCATCCATCCCACAGGACACCCTGCACCACTGCAGTGTTGGAGGCTCTCCTCTCTGAGCCCTACCTGGTGATCAGCAGCATGTCAGGCATCAGGCTCTCACAGAAAGACATTTTTAACAGAAAATCATTTAGCACAAATTAATTTTACATGGACAGATACAGACAGAACAAGGGGGAATGGCTTCAAATGAAACAAAAGAAGATTAGATTAGATATCAGTAGGAAATGGGGGTGGGCAGGCCCTGGCCCAGGGTGCCCAGAGAAGCTGTGGCTGCCCCTGGATCCCTGGAAGTGTTCAAAGCCACACTGGATGGGGCTTGGAGCACCCTGGTCTAGCGGAAGGTGTCCCTGCCCATGGCAGGGGTAGAACAGGATGGGTTTTAAGACCTTTTCTAACCCAATCCACGCCGTGATTCCCTGAATGAGGAGCAGCCCCAGCGGGCAGGAGCAGGGCCCTGCTCAGTGTACGGTGCTGCTGCCAGGGACCGTCCCAGGGCGGGGGAGCAGCAGGGATGGAGCCGGCTGGGCACTGACTCAGCCCCAGCTCAGTTTTTCCCCCGTGAGTGCCCCGTGCCCCGGCCATGGCTCCCCCCGGCCCGGCCGGTTCTGCTTTCCCAGCCCGGAGCGACCCCGACCGCCCCCGCCCAGCCCCGGGGCAACAAACGCGGTTGAACAGGACAGGGGAGGGGGCGCACACTCGGCCCACAGCCCCGGCCCGGCCCTCTCCGTGCTCCCTCCGGCGCGGAGCCCCCGCTCCCGGGGGCGGGACCCACCTGCCGGCCGCTGCCCGCCGCACCCGGGCCGCTACCGTTGAGCAGCGGGGTGGTTTCGCCTGCACGCCCGTCCTCGTCGTCGTCGCGGTCGCGGCCGGACCAGGACACCTTCTTGGCGACGTTGGCCATGCGGGGCGGGGGCGGCGGCGGCGGCGGCTGCTCCGCCGGGCCTGCCCCGCCGCGCGGTCATGTGACCGCCGCCATCACGTGCCCGTCAGGGCGGCCGGAGGCGCCCCGAGGCACCATGGGAGTTGTAGTTTCGGTGGGGAGGCCGCGCCCGGAGCGGGACGGGACGGGACGGGACGGAATGAATGGAATGGGATAGGATAGGATTAGGGTAGGACAGGACGGGACAGGACAGGACAGGACAGGACAGGATGGGATGGAATGGAATGGGACGGGCTGAGCGGGACCCCAGTGGCGGCGGCCCGAGAGGTTGCGAGGCTTTGCCCCACGCACACCCAGCCCCCCGGGAACACGGCGCTCCGGGAACGGCCGGAACCGACGCTGCTCCAGCTCTCCAGGCACAGAATTCCCCAGAGTGTGCTTGGCCTTATGGAGCAGCACAGCTCGGCCCGAAGCCCTGCCCCGCCAGGAGCCCCGCGGGCACGGGCAGCGCACGGCACCGCCGGCGGCGGCGGCGCTGGCTCCCGCCGGTCACGGCTGTCCCGTGCTCCGCTTCCCTTGCTCTGATCAGCGGCAGGGAACGAGCAGCGCCACCCGCTCGGGCTGCCCGGGCTGAGCAGCTCCTGCCCGGCTGTGAGCGGCACCGAGCGCGGCAGTGAATGAGCAGCACAGAGATAAATTGGGTTTCTCTAACGTTCGGAGCGTTTTAATAGGAACCATGAGCTGTGCATCATCTAGGAGCAGGTGACCTCTGCCTTTGGTCCCACCTCTGGCTGCCAAGACCCTTTTCCTCCCTCGGTGTGGGCGGTTCTGAGACGCCCTCCCTCCTGGGTGTCCCATCACCCCGGGAGGGTTCAGGTCGTGTCGGGAGCGGCACCGTGAGCCAGCCGTGACCATTCCCGCTGTCAGCCTCGTCAGAGGCAGCGCTGGAGGCACGGACACGCCACCCTCCGCACCCCGCCCCGCAAGGAGGCATCGGCCAGCGTGAGGAGGGGGCCGCGGGGCAGCCCCCGCCCTGTCGCCATTCTGGCCACCTCCCCGGGCAGGAGAGCCCGTCTCCAGAGAGCGAAGCCAGCCAGGTGACCCACAAAAGCTTCTGCAGTGCCCAGGTCCATGTTGGGGCCGTGCTGCCCCCAGCCCAGCACCAGCGAGCCACCAGCGGGGATTCCATAGCCCTGCTGGAAGCCGGAGCCGGCAGCCAGCAGTCTCCTGTCCACGTAGAAGCGGTACCGGCCCTGGCCCGAGGACCAGGTGAGGCACAGGTGGTGCCATTTGCCATCCAGGAGCGGCGCCACCGGCAGCTCCCGAAACTGCCCGTGCCCCAGGATGAACCGTGCAGAGCCGGGGCGATCCCCACCGTGGCCAAGCACGGCCAGCTCGCTGTGCCAGTCCCCGGTGGCGTAGGAGAGGAGAGCCCCGAGGCGAGGGGCTGGGGTGGCCAGCCAGGCACAGAGCGACACCGACCGCAGCCCCCGGTGCGGGCCCAGCCCCAGGACGGCCCCGTGCCCAGCGGAGGGGTCGGGGAAGAGCAGGACGGCTCCGGTGCGACAGGCGGGGGAGGCGGGCACCGGGGCGGGGGGGCTGTGCCTGCCCTGTCCCGGCTGCCGGGGGGCTGGGGGCTGCTCCTGGGGAGCCGTGGTGGGGAGCATCGATGCCACGGTCGGGGGTGCTGGTGCTGCATCCTCAGGGCTCTCCTCATCCTCCCGGGGCGCTCCCCCAGGCCCGGCAGCAGCGGGCAGCCAGTGCCCTTCCTCCTGCCGGTGCTGCTGCCACCGCCGCGTCTTCGGGGGGCGAGGGCTGGGGGTGCTGAGGACAGCCTGGCCCGGGGGCTGCTGCTCCGGCCGCCTGCCCCGGCTCCGGGCGGTGTCTGGCACACCGTGCGGGTTGGTGCCAGCCTCCACCAGCGCGGCCGGGGGGTGGGTGAGCAGGGGCTGTGGGGGGCTCAGGGCACCCACCGTCCCCTCCAGCCTCTTCAGCCTGCGGCGTAGCCGCCGGCCAGCAGTGGCCAGGCGGGCCAGCTCGGCACCCAGGGCGGCCCGGGCAGCGTCGGCCGCCTCCGCCTGCTCGGCCAGAGCCTGGAAACGTCCATCGATGTTGTAGGAGATGTTGTAGTTGCTGGCGATGCTCTGGAGATGGTTCACTGTCAGTTCCTGGAGCCGGAGAAACTGCAAGGGAGTAGGATGATGTGGGGCGAACCCACGGCCCCGTGCCGAGTCCCTGCCCTGCCCAAAATGCTGGGTGTCCCCCTGGCACAGGCTGGCAGCACCCCGTCCCCGCGCCGGGCACCCACCTGCTCCTCCAGACGCCGCAGCCGCAGGAGCAGGGGGCCGGGGCGGGCCAGGGGCGCCGGGGCCCGGGTCAGGCCGCCCTGCAGGGCAGCAGCGAGGATCAGGCAGAGGGGCAGTGCCATCCCCGCCATCCCGCCGCCGGACGCTTTCTGCCTGCACGGCAAGGCCGGCCCTGGCCCCCCTGGTGTCCCCACGGGCAGCCTCCACCGCTGATGAGATCCACAGGCACCGCTGGCACGGCCCCGCACCGGGGCTCCCGGCGCTCTGCGGGGGCGGCTGGCCCGGGCCCAGAGCTCCCGGGGCTCCGTGGCTGGGGCCGGGCCGGGGGTGCTCGGCTGTGAAAGGAAAGGTGTGCGGGGGATCCTGGGCACGCGGCTGGATGTGGGGCAGGGGGGGACAGGCTGGGCAGGGCCGGCAGGACAGGACAGGGGAGGTCGGACGGAGTGGTCAGTGCCGGCAGGATAGGACAGGACAGGGGGGATGGAGTGATCAGTGCTAGCAGGACAGAACAGGGCAGGACTGGACAGGACAGGGCACGGCAGGCCAGGGCAGGACACCACAGGATGGGACAGAGCAGGTCAGATGGAGAGATCAGTGCTGGCAGGACAGGACAGGGCAGGGCAGGACAGGACGGAGTGGTCAGTGCTGGCAGGACAGGGCAGGACAGGGCAGAACCGGTCGGACGGAGCAGTCAGTGCCAGCAGGACAGGACAGGACAGCACAGGACAGGACAGGTCGCACGGAGCGGTCAGTGTCCGCAGGACAGGACAGCACAGGTCGCACGGAGTGGTCAGTGCCAGCAGGACAGGACAGGTCGCACGGAGCGGTCAGTGCCGGCAGGACAGGGCAGGACAGGGCAACACAGGACAGGACAGGACAGGTGGCACGGAGCGGTCAGTGCCGACAGCACAGGACAGCACAGGACAGGACAGGTCGCACGGAGCGGTCTGTGTCCGCGGGACGGGGCCCTGCCGCAGAGCCACCACGAGGGGGCAGCACGCGTGCGCAGCAGCGCCCCAACTGGGCGTGGCTTCACAACAGTGGGCGTGGCTTCAGGTGCCGCCGCTGGCCCCGCCCTCTCCTTAGCCCCGCCCCGTACCCTTGAGCCCTCACAAGATGGCGGCTGCAGCCCTCGCCCGTAGGATCGGCCGCACAGGTGCGCCTGGACCCTGCCCCGACCGCTCCTGCGGCGGGCTCGGCTGTCCCCGAGCCCTCGCTCCTCTCTGTAGCCCTCCCTTACCGTCAGGGTGTTCCACGTGTCCCCCTGCCGTGGGGTGGAGTGTCCCTGTATCCTCCCTGAGCGGGTCAGGGTGTCCCCGTGTCCCTCCGTGTCCGTGCAGAGCGGTTTTGGGGAGCGCCCCTCACACCTGTGGGGGCTGTGCTCTTCCCGTCCTTACCTGTCTGTGTCCCCAGGTGTGCTGCCCCTGTGCTGCCGCCTCCCAGCGTGGGACAGGGCCAGCCGGCCGTCCCCCAGCCCCCTGCAGCCCCCGGGCCTCCCGCTCGCCCCGTGCCGCTCCTTCAGCAACAACAAGATCCAGGTGGAGCTGGACGAGAGCTCAGGTATGGCGGGGGGCACGGCCGCGGGGTCACCCTCGGCCCACGGGCACTGTGGGGACATCCCTTCCACCCCTGTCCCGTGGCATGTGCGGCTCTGGGCATGGAAAGTCACCAAAGCCCCAGGTGTTGCAGCTGCTTTGGGGGCTCAGGGAGAAGCGCTTGGGGTTGGGAGTCGCACCAGTTGTGGGCACTTCAGGTGGTTGGTGCTACAGACAAATCCTGGCTGTCATTGTCCCCTGCCTGTGCATTGTCCCCTCTCTGGGGGTCCCTGTTTTGGGCACCTGGTTGAGTGGCAGTGCTCCATCAGGGAAGAGCTGTTGGGAATTTCTGTGGCCTGGCTACCAGGAATAGCTGTCACGTGCTAATGTCCTTGCACTGAACAAAGGTGTCCAGGCCTCTTCCTGTGGCTTCCCAGCTCCTGCTTTCAGGTGTCTGGGTGTGTCCTTGTGCTGTTCCCAGATGGCCATGGCTGCAGCAGTCAGGGAGAACATCTTGGGTAGGGTAGTGCAGTGTGGGCAGGGACAAGGGCTCAGAGCCCTTCCCTGGTGCTGACAGGCTCACAGCAGGTGTGTGACCCCTGGACACAGGCTGCTTGCTGTGACAGAAGCCACAGGCTCGACCTTCCCCACTGAGGCCAGAGAGAAGGGAACTGCTGGGCACTGTGACCCAGAAGGTGACTGGACTTTGGGACACGTGGGGTGCCACCATGCATGGTCTGGTCTGTGCTCCAGTCCACCACCCCTTGAGTGACCCTGGCTTGTGGGTGGATTTGGGCAAAGACAGGACCTTGCCCTTGGCTCTGCTGCTCTGGAAACTTTTAAACAGCCAGGAATGTTGTTGAGTGGGAGTAGGAAACCACAGTTTGGTGAGGGAGACAGGGAGGTGGGTGAAGCTCCCCTGGGCAGGGCAGTGTGAGCTGCTGGGGAGGAGTCTGATGTCTCTGTGCTTATCCTGCTCAGGTGTTGCCATGATGAAGTTCAAGAGTCCCCCAGTGAACAGCCTCAGCCTGGAGTTCCTCACAGAGTTTTCCATAAGCCTGGAGAAGCTGGAGAACAACCGGGCCTGCCGGGGTGTGATCATCACCTCTGTAAGGGTTTGCTCCTGTTTGGGTCACTGGTCACTGGCAAGGGAGGGCCCCAGGCACCTTGGATTGGCTCAGGGAGGAGGGGAGGGGGCTCTTGGAAGGGCCATGATCTTTCTTCTGTGCCCTTTTCTAGCAGAAGAATGACAACCAAGTGTTGTGCTTTGTCATGAAAATCAAATCAAATCTGGTTATCTGCCAACCTGACACATCCTGTGATGTCTCCTGGCTCACCCACAGGGAGCTGCTGGGAGATGCCAGTGCTTATTTTCAGATGTGGTGTGGGGACAAGGTGATGGCTGGCAATGGGACAGGACAGGTTTTGTGCTGTGTGGGTGATGTACTCACACAGGCACCATGACAATAACAAATTGTGTTGCAAGCAGAGTCCCAGCACTGCATGCCATGGTAATGGGATAATGCAGGTTGTGGGAGCACTGGGGAGATATTTTCAGAACCCCAAAAGACCCTGATTTATAGCACATATTCATCACCTTCCCTTCCTCCAACTGCCAGGCTGAGAGCTAAAGGGTCCTTCCTTCCCTGTGACTCTCAGTGACCTCTGTCTTTTCCCAATTCCAGGCTGTTCCCAAAATATTCTCCTCTGGCCTGGACATCACGGAGATGTGTGGGAAGAGCATGGAGCACTACACTGAGTTCTGGAGAGCAGTGCAGGAGATGTGGCTGCGGCTCTACGGCTCCAACATGGTCACAGTGGCTGCAGTCAACGTAGGTCCCTTGGGCCCACCTTCCTCAGGGTGGCATTGTCACCTGCTGTGGCTGCTCTGGGCTGTGTGGGCAGGGACAGCTGAAAAACCAGGCTGGAATTCATCCAGGGATGTGTCTGTTGGGGTGTTCAGACAAAACTGGTGTCTGTCAGTTCTGTGGGGTGTGGGAAGGTATGGGAGTGTGGGATGCTGCAGGCTCTGTGTAAGCTGTAGGCACTGCTGGGTTACATTTCAGCATTTCCAGCAGGTTTTGCTCCTCCAGCTGGGGTTCTTGGCCAACAGGAAAGTGCTGCTGGAGTCTCCATGCCCATGGATGGGTTATTACATTTTTGGTGTCTTGTTTTCATTTTCCAGGGAGGTGTTGCCCTGGCAGCTCACAGTAGTGTCTGTCCACAGCCCCTCCTGAAGGCACTTGGGTTTTCTCTCAGGCATCCTGTGCAGGGCTGAGCAGCACTGAGCCATGGAAAAGATGGAAGGGAAATCTTCCCTGTGAGGGGGGTGAGGCCCTAGAACATGTTGCCCAGAGAAGCTGTGGCTGCTCCATCCCTGGAAGTGTCCAAGGCCAGGCTGGATGGAGTTCTGAGCAACCTGATCTAGTGGAAGGTGTCTCTGCCTGTAGCAGGGGCTGAGAATGAAATGGGCTTTAAGGTGCCTTCCAACCCAAACCCTCCTGTGGCTCTATGAAACCCTGATAAACATCAGAAACCTTCTTTAGAACCGTTTTGAATCAGGTGATCAGAAATTTAGGGGACATCTGCTCTGTCTTCCTGGTGTCTTCTGTGCTCTGGAGTGATCAGCAGGGCTGGGGGGTGTTTGTAACCATGTCCTGGTCTAACCGTGTCCTTCTCTCTGCCAGGGTTCCAGCCCAGCTGGGGGCTGCCTTATGGCCCTGTCGTGTGACTACAGGATCATGGCAGAGAACCCCAAATTCAGCATCGGCCTGAACGAGGCCCAGCTGGGCATTGTGGCTCCCTTCTGGTAGGACACTGCCTCCCACTTGTAATATCATGTGTAGATCTCTAGAAAGAATTCATCTTCAAGTCATTAATTAGTCAGTTTGCCAGGTCATGGTGGTGTGGTTTGTGTGTCAGGGGTCAGGTATTTGCAGCTGCAGGAGATGACACCTCATTTCTGTCCTGTCCTGCAGGAAAAGCTGAAAAGCTTTCAGGCTGCAGAATGTCCTCACATCCTGCACCAAGGACCTCAGTTCTGGCCCTGCAATTAGCTCCAGAACTAGTGCTGGGAGGTCTCATGGGTCAGGCTCAGTCTGGGAATAGGCTTTTCTCTGGGTACACACTGTGTACCTGCAAAATCCCACAGTGTGGAGATCTCTGAAAGCATGGAGGCACCAAGACACTGACACACAGGCCCTTGTTTGCCCTAGGAATGTGTAAATGTACTGTTGGGAAGGAGCTTTCAGTCACAGCAAGTGGGTACCCACAGGCACTGAGAGTAAAAAGAACAGCTTTCTTACAGAGGAGAGGAAACTCTCTTGGGGTACTCCCAAAAATGGCTCTTCTCACACCATTTTCACATCATGACTGAGCCCACAGCTGCTGTTCAGAGCCCTGAGCCTGGGGAGTGGGACCAGGATGTTCTCAGAGCCCTGAGCCTGAGGAGTGGGACCAGGATGTTCTCAGAGCCCTGAACCTGAGGAGTGGGACCAGGGTGCTCTCAGAGCCCTGAGCCTGGGGAGTGGGACCAGGATGCTCTCAGAGCCCTGAGCCTGGGGAGTGGGACCAGGGTGCTGTCAGCTCTTGGTGTC